TCTTCTCCAATTTTCACGACACTATTAACTAGTATTTTAGTTTACACATTATATAAATTAAATGATTACTATATATAATAAAATTTATAATAGATTATATATACAAATAAATATTATATTTCAATATATAAATTATATTATATTTAAAATTTTTATAAATAGATATTTTTTTGGAAATAAGTATATTTTATATTTTATGATAAATAATTTATAGGCTTAAATATATTTTTAGTCTTTCAAATTTAGGATAATTTATTTTTGGTCCCTCAAATTTAAAATTATTATTTTTAGTTCTTGTAATGTTTAAAGATTTTGTTTTAGTCCATTAGGTCACTAATAACATGTTTGAAACTAACAAATTGAGAGAGCTATGCAACATTATTTGAGTTTAATATGATATATTCACTAACAAGAACACTAGTAAGTAGATTTTATATGATAATATTTGATAGATTCCCTAAAAAAATTGAGTATATGGACTAAAACAAGATTTTTTAAAATTATAGGAACTAAAGAACAATTTTAAATTTAAGAAACTAAAAACAAATTTACTCTCAATTTGTGAGACTAAAACTATAGTTAAGGTTAATTTATATTGCCATGCAAGATTATTTTTAATTATTTATAATTTATTTCAAATATTAATATTTAATTTACAAATAAATATGATAAATATAAATCAAGATAGATAAGAAGTCAAAGAATTTTTAAAACTCCCTATCGAGGAAAAACACCTAAAAACCTTCTTGTTAAAGTGAAATTTCTAAAAATACTTTTTAGTGAGATATCGATTTGTGTATAATATATAGGTGGATATAATTAAAAGTAAAAATGAAACTATTACTATAAAATAATGATGGAGGTTAGGATAGTATACACAAAATCTTAAGTTTGAATCCTAATGTCGTTATTGTAATTTTGATGGATAAAAAAGACAATAACAACTATGTGTACCTCTCTATGCACTTTATATATCTAACTTTTTTTCTTATTGTTGCATACAATTCAAAAGAAACTTCTATCTATTTACTACATATAAAAGAAGGTCCTAACTCAACCATATGTCAATATTTTTGCAAGTTTTTTTCCTACTCAAAATCATTTTCCAACTTTTTATTTTATTTATTTCAATTTATTTATTTGATATTCAAATTTGACGCTTCATTGATATTAACCTTTCTTATTTCTTCCCTCTTGGACCATGTCACTCTTAAAAACACATACAACATACTTGCTTCACTCTGCATATGTTTATTAGAGTTGTGAAGCTTTAGAGCTTGCTCTATGATCAATTGTATGCTAAATCATTTTACTCTTCATTTTCCCTTCTAATGGAGATAGGAAGGAAAAGTGGATTGATGAACTTTCCCTTGCCTTTCCCCTCACACAATCTTCGTTCTTGATTTGCAATTCCAGAGAAGAAGACTTGAAATGAGACCGGATTTGGATTGGATCCAAGTCAAGAAGGAAGCACTCAAGCAAGGAGAGAAAAGGAGTGCTAACGGTTTCTCTTAGAAGATCTAGGATCCCTAAGACTAAGCAAAATTTCTCGGTGACTTTTGGAGAGAAAATGGCTAAAGTGGATTTTCAGATTTCTCAAATGTCGAAAGTGATTATAAGAGTGAAGGAATGAACTTAAATAGGCACGAATCAAGCCTCCTTGGCACCAAGTCTCATGGCACACAATTGGTGCCCAAAATTTGAATTCAAATGCAAATTTGAATTCAACTTTTCGCCCTCATGTGCATGTCCGTGAATCAAGGCTCCAAGATATATCTAAATTACATTTAGCAAGCATTTAGGGTTGATTTGGGCGTGCACATGTTCAGCCACTCATGGCTTAAAACATGTGACCCAAATTCAACTTAAATGGCTTCTAAATGAAACTTAGATTTAACATCACTTACCTATTTTAGTATTTCTTCAAATTTCCTATTCTAAAAGCCTAAATACAATGGCCAACCAAATACAAACAATAGAAAGTAATAAAAGAAACAAAATAAGCTCAATATTGGGTACCAAAATATCCAAGGCCCATTAAGCCCGAAAATAGGCCTACTAAGCCTATGACCTAAAAATCCTAATTTAAATGGTCCAAAATATAAGACCAAAATATATGAAACTTATACTAATATTATATATACAAATACAAGTTAATGGAAATCTCAGGGTGTGACTCATGTGAGGAGCATATTGGGCCCATTAAGTCCTTCGGGCTCTAACTAGCTCAAATCTTCATGTCTAGCTCATTCCTCTTAGGTCCTTCAAGGTGTCACCTCTTGACCTCCTTGACATGATTCCATTTATTAGAGTTGTGAAGCTCTAGAGCTTTCTTTATGATCAATTGTATGCCAAATCATTTTATTCTTCATTAATATTAATCTTTCTTATTTCTTCCCTCTTTGACCATGTCACTCTTAAAAACATATACAACATACTTGCTTCACTCTGCATATGTTTATTAGAGTTGTGAAGCTCTAGAGCTTGCTCTATGATCCATTGTATGCCAAATCATTTACTCTTCATTTTCCCTTCTCACTTTGTTTAATAGGGGCATAGTTTTAAAAACCGGACCGGTCATCGAACCGGTTAAGGTACTAGGTCAGTGGGTCAAAGGTTGAACCGGTGGGTCACTAGTTGAACCGCATGACTCGGTTTTTATTTATTTTTATTAAAAAAATATTCATATTAAATATATTTTATACTTATAAATTTTAATAAATTTATATCTTATTTTAAATTTCAATTTTTCTATCTTATTTAAAATTATTTTTATTTTTATTTTGTAAAAAATATATAAAAAATTACATATTAAACTGTATATTAATACAAATTAAAAATATAAATAATATGTACATATATAATATGCTTGCAATTGATATCACAAAATAATATATGTAATATTTACATATATATTATATTATTAAATATATAATATAAAATTAATAATATACTATAAAAGTTATTTAAGTTGTATATTATATAAACAAATACATTAGAACAAGTAGTCATTGTTATATTTAATAAGAATCTTTGTTCTTCCATTAAAAGATTCAATTTTCATTATTATTTTTGTGGTTTATGGTCCCTTAAAAAATAAAATAAAATAAAATAAAATAAAATAAAAAAAAAGTGGTTGAACCGGTTTGACCCACCGGTTCACCGGTTGAACCGGAAAATTGACCGGTTCAATCCGGTTTGAAACGGGTCGCCTGCATAACCGATCCAACTTAAGATTCGGACCGGCTGGCCCATCGGTTCCCGGTCCAACCGGTCCGACCGGCCGGTTCGGTCCAGTTTTTTAAACACTGAATAGGGGTTTTCATAAGCTTTTTCATTCCCATTTTATTTTTGTCTAATCTCCTTTATTCACATTTTGTTCTACAGTAGTATGGAGTGAAAGTAACATTTTCAATTTTTTGAATTTCATCCATTTTCATGTTTTAAAACAAGAAGATTTTTTTTGTGGGTAACATTTTCATGTTTTTCTTTCTATAAATACCAAGACATACGGAGTGTTAACACTTTCAATTAAGAAGGGAAAATAAGTTATGTAGATAGGTCTAGTTTTACTAGTTGAGTGAATATAATCCCCAATCTCAAAGTTTCTATGACATACTAAAATGAGTTAAAAAGATCAAGTTGATTTTATTAGATTTATATAACAAAATTATGATTTACCAATTTTCCCCTCCTTGTCATTAAATTTCCATGAGATGAAAAATTTACCAATATCAATAAAAATAATAAATGATAATTAATAAGTTTAAGAGGTGAGAAAGGAAAATAAAATCTCACAATCTTTAATAAGGACATAAAATGAAAACTAAAATTATTTTATACACACAATCTTTAATCTTTAATAAGGACATAAAATGCAAACTAAAATTAAGATTTTATAGAAATTATAAAGTGGCTTATAAAAAGAATCATCAATCCCTTCTAAATTGTCTTATAATTAGGATTGGAGGAAGTATTTACTTTAATTAAATTATACATGTTTTCTTATAATTTTAAATAATTTATATTTATATTTTTTAATTTGTTTTCAATTTAAAGTACCGCATACAATGTAGGAAATACACATTGGTTGACAAAAAACAAAAAGGAAAGTTGGTTAGGGCATTCAAAACTAGAAAACAAAATACGACAATTTGAAAGCCTAAAATAGTTGCATAATTTTCCTTGTTAATTCACTCCACAATGTTCTTTGACATCAGACACCCTGAGCGTGTTCTCATAAGCTAAATTCAAATGCTGATGTAAATTGAAAGCAGAATATTCAAATAAGAAAAAGTTGAAAAAGTTTTTAATTAAAAATAATAATAAATTAAATGCTATTACTTATTCTCAAATAGGTTATGTTGTTCAGCTTCCTTACATATACACCTAATACACGAGACCTCGAGTTTGTGACAAGGTAGTTGAAATGTTGAGACCCTAATGCAAGTTCTATGTGACAAGAAAGAAAATTGTCCAAAATTAAATGACCAATCATGAGGGTGGAATCAATGGACATTTCAATTGACAACTAGTTTAAAACCACACCAACATTTAAGTGCTGAAGGACCCTCTTCCAAATCCAATATTGGATCAACAAAATTTCTATATATATTCGACCCTTTTAACTTGGGAAATAAACAGTGACATAGTTTACTCCCCTCTCAATCAGAATAGCTCTATAGAGGTAAAAATGGTGAACTGAATTGTTGTTTTTGTTTGGTCAAGAGGATGAAGCTTCAATAATGGCTAGCAAAGGGAGTTCTTGTCCAGATTCTGGAAGCTTGAAAATGCTGGCAAATTCATAATTAGAAGTTCTATTTTCGTCCATGACCCCATTGCTTCTTGTGATTTCCAGGTTTGACATGTGGATTTCGGTGGCCAATCCCTTGCTTTGGGAGGTCATGCAACTCCATAACCTGTACAGTCCGCTGCCTCTTAGCTGCAGGTGAGAATCAAGAAGCAGTTTCATCAAGAAGTTGTGTTATGAATATTTACTTCTCAAATCAAAACTCAAAGCTCTAAAATTTTGAAAGGTTGATCTTCCAAAATCCAAATCCAACATTTTAGGCCATTTAGTATAAATTGTGGGGCAAGTAATAGCACAATAGTAAGGTTGTTGCCGTGTGAGTTTCAGGTTATGAGTTCAAATCCTAGAAACATTTTTGCTTGCAAAGGGTGAGGCTATTTAGTATAAATTGTGGGGCATTTACCGCAACTCATAACAATTGAGATTATACAAGAAAGATCCGTTTTTGGCTCTCTCTTTAGCCTTATGTCACTTATCCTTAGGAGGTTTTTCTCTACTAGCAGGTTTTTCCAAAAAACTTAATTTATTCCAGTGTGAATGGCAAGCAGACTTATATTTATTGGTTTCAATAGGACTCCTTACGAGCATTGTTTCTATCTACTATTATCAAGTCATAGCATAATAGTAAGGTTGTTGCCTTGTGACTTTGAGGCTATGAGTTCAAATCCTAGAAACAACCTCTTTGCTTGCAAGAGTAAGGGTGGAAACATCTACCCCTTGCTAGATCCGATTAGGTGGGAGCCTTGTGTGCACTTGGTTACCCGTTTTAACTTTAGTATGAGCAGATTTTCAAGAAATGTATATTCTTTAGAACTGTTTGAATTCTAAACATTTAAAATTAGAAGGAAAGATGACATTGATTCTGGAAAAGGAATGACTAACCATTTTCAACTTGTTGATACCGCTCCTGAAGTTTCCTCTTAGTTGCTTCTAACTTCACTTGGACTGCAGCATCATCCGAACCCTTGAATCTCTGATAGTCAAGAAACGAAGTTTAGACAAAATTCAAATCTACAAACACAATGCGCCAAGAGAATTTGTCCTTACATCTGGCTGACGAACATGAGGATTTTTCGGGATAGCACTCTTCACTATATTTTGTTGCATCTTCTGCTCAATGTTGCTTTTCTTCTGCATGGTTGATTTTGGTGGTCTGCCAGGGCCAGAATTAGCAGTACCTGGTTTATTTAACCTCACAGCGGCCTCATTTTTATTTGCTTGCTGACCCTTACTGTCCTTGGCAATGATGTTTGCCTCATTTGAAGCCTGAGGTTTCCTCTTTGCTGTATTTTGATCGCTAAGAGATGGTCTTCTTCCATGTTCACGGCTCTTGATGAATTCCCCACAGTGTCGAGGATCTGAAACAGCAATCCCGAAGCATAATCATCAAACAAAGAAGTGGGGAATTCATATAAAGAACAGCAGGGCAAAAGCTAGCAAGACTAAGCATGACAAATTGCAAAGTCAACTCACTTCCATCATCATCCATGCCATCAAAGAACTTTGCATCATCAAGATATGTACCATTCAACCAAGAGAAGTGGAAGTTAGTATCTAACTTTCAAATCCTGCAAAACGTGAATAGAAGAAAGATGGAGCGAGAGGGACAAAGAGAACAACGAAGTACCTGTGAGAGTTCCATCGAACCAGTTGGAGCTGCAAATAAAGCCCCTTCATCCATGGGAGGTGATGGTAGCCCTTCTTCATCATCAACTACAGATGGATTTACTGAATCAGGAGTACCTTCTGAACCTACAAATTTTTTATGAAATTTTTTAAAATGAACTAATTTTAAAATTGGACGAAAGAAAAGGTTTTAAATCCTATTTGGATATAAGCTAAAAACGCTTTTAAGAGTTTTTCTACAAAAAAAAAAAAATTGAATAATATTTTCCAATAAAGAAGCTCTCAAAAACGCTTCTAAACTTGTATCCAAATGAAAGCAGATAATTATACCTGTAATAGCTGTGGTAGCCTTAACCCACTCATTCACCATTTCTTTCCAGCCACTACAATTAAATAGTCAATGTATAGTTGTTACTTTGTTTTCATTTGCAAAACTACTACACTAATATGAATTAAAACAATAATAAAAGACTTTCAAGAACATTAAATGTTTGAGCATGAAGAATGATAAATTGAACAGAAATCTAATGCACCTATATTCAGATCCTCATCAAACTTAATAAGCATTACATTTGAGGAAATAGGAGACATGATTGACAAATCTATACAAATAGAATGTCAGGCCAAATAAAAGTGCTAACTAATGACTATGATCACCGAACTCAATACATTAGTCTAATTAGAGCAGCAGATAGTAAATCTTGGTAAAATATTGATGACAGCCTAGCTATCAATCTTGGAGAAGCACCTAGCGGCCAACTCTGAAAAGCTATAGGAGGATATCATGAACTGGTATACTTTTATTTTAATATTTTAATATTACAACACAAACTAAATCATTTATACTGCACATGTTACTACTCAAAAAAGCAACAAAAAATAAAAAAATCAATCCAGGAGTCATAACAACATGGTAAAGAAGTCAAAAATGAAAGATGATGGCGAAGCTAATAGATAAAGAACATAACAGCTTAGATAAAAATTAGCAAAATGAGAATTGAGAAGGTTAAAGGAAGAAGTAAGAATGAAAAACTGGGGGAAAAAATAGTCCTATAAAGCGTAAAAGTGGGGAAGTAAAAATAGAGGTAACTTTTAGTGGAATGGTCAAGGAAGATGATTTCAAATCCTATTATGCTTCTGAAGCAGCAAAAAAAATGCATTAGAAAATGGAGAAATCACAATTTTACCTTTAAAAAAAATCCTAAACATCATTGTTTTAAGGGTAAAAAAAGGGTTTTTGAAGCTTATATCACGGTAGCCCCACTATAGCACGCAATAAGGCATTATTTTCGCAATACCATAACTAAAAACAGCTCCACTATTTCAATTTGAATCCCATAGCAGCTCTATAACATGCTATTGACTACTAATCATGACAGTGTGATGGATGGATAAACAAAATAAAAGGGATTAAACCTATAGACCTTCGCTCAAGATCATAAACAATATCATAAAGAGTAGCAAACCACTAAATGGCAAGTAAGGAAACTAGTTATAAGCCTCTTCTATAATCCATGTAAGAGAAGATAAACAGACTATTTTTGTTTTATAGGATGCTGAGGATATATGCAAGAAAAATAAGTCTCAAGTAAAAATTAGTTCATACTCAATAAGAGTCCGTGCAAGTTGACAAATGCCCCTTGATCCATGTTTTCGAAGAGGATTGACAGCCTTTCCAATCTCAGTTGCCTGGCAAAATTAAGTTTTCAGTCAACTAAAAGATATACTGAAGTAGGCACTGGAAAATAAATAACAGAGCCAAAAAGCAGGAGAAAAAAATGGCAGGCTTATTGAATGAACAAGGGATGATTCAATTCAAACCTTCAGAAGATCCACTGTGAGTTCCATCAGCTGAAGTCTCCTTAGTGAATCAAACAATACTGAATCAGACTGTTGCAACATGAAATAAAGCACCATGCATCAGGGCACCACACAGGACACAAACCAATTTAATCTCCATAAAAGAAATCCACTGTCATCCAATAAAACCACTTATATTCTGTAACAAGAACACATAAAAAGAACAGAAATATATATATATATATATATATAT